TCCTATTTTAATTAAAAAATATTTGAATTGAAGAATAAGTTTTGATATGAAATATGTTTCTAATGTATTTTAAATTTTTACAGAGACTTAAAATTATCATTATCTTCAGTGTGAATCAATTTTTAATCAATTTTTATGATTTTTTACAATTTTTATGATTTTTTAAAATTATATTTTATTTATTTAAATTTTTATGGGTTTTAAGGACTTAATTACATAACATAATGCACTAAATTATTTAAACTCAATTTATATTTTTTTTTTCTAGAGTCTTATGATCACATGGAACTTACCAAAATAAATCCTATATTTTTCCTGATTTATATTTAATTTATATAATTATTTTAAGCAAAAATAGGTAACTAGCCTTGAAAATTGGGGTTTTAATAGTTAGGGGTGTTCTCTAACTTTGGAAAAATCGTAGAACACTCCTAATCACATGAGGAACAAACCCTCTTAATTTTAAGTCATGGTGACTGATAGTTAATTAATTATAATTAAAACATACTGTGAAGTATTTAATTAATTAAAAATAAAATACATAATAGATAATTTTTAGTTTTGGTTCATAATTTTCTTCTTTGTTCACTGAGCAACAATGTATTTTTAATTTATTTTAATGATTTTTTACTCCGAGTTATGATTTTTTGAAGTTTCAGTATTTAATTAAATAAAAAAACCCTAATTATCTACTTATCCACGCGACGCCCACGTCAATTTGACGACTCCTAATTTGCGGTGCTTTACACTTCAGCTTGCCACACGACACGCGGTTCATGAACCAATCCTTCGTTTGACTCCTCCGTCGTTGGATCAATACATGTGCAAATGGACGACAACCATCTATCGACCCCATCAGACCCAACCCAAGTCCAACTGATATACCTAAGATCTTGCTCGATACTTAACTAAATCACATGGGATTTGATCATATAGCTTCATCTAGTCAATGCAAGCCTATATATACGATTGATCAAGCATGGAACACAAGTCTACTTCACAATTGATGAAACCGGGCCTTAAATTTGGGTTTTTGAGTTATACCTTTGTCCAAGAGGTGTGGCCTCAATTAGATGCTTGCAGAAGCTTCTCTGGAGTCCCACGAACGTGCTTGAAGCGTCACATTTCTCTGTTATGGGGTTTAAATATGAGGTTGACCAACAGGTGGTGCGGCCTTGGTCTAGGTCGGTTGTAGAGGACTCAAAGGATGGGGCTTTCAGTGGGGAACTTCTCCTTGTGCTTTGGTGAAGCTCAAGAGCAAGTCAATTTGAAGTTTGGTGGAGGTTTATGGAGTGACAAAAAATTTCCCTAGATTTCAAAGGAAAATTGGGCTTTGACAGTGGGAATGGGTGGCCAACGACAGTGAGATTGAACTTAGGAAGGTTTGGAGAAGCTCTCAAAGAATTTTGATAGAGTCTCCCCAAGGAATTGGGTGATCTATCTTCTTGTCCGTGAGGGGTGGTGTTTAAATAGCCATGGCCATGGTGGCTAGCAGGGCAATCCAAGGGGTGGCGAAGGCTTCTTATGTGGAGGAATAAATAAAGAAATTAACCAATGAAGGCTAGCCACATTGTATGGGTGCAATTGGATTCAAAGCATGGGGAAGGCACTCTCGGTTATGGTGTTTTTTGGCCACTAGGCCGACTGACCAGAACCGATCTAGTAGTTAGTTGGGTCAAAGGAGCCAGAGGGAGGTTTAATTGTGATCAAGTTGGGGATTTAATCTTTTGATGACAAACTTAAGTCATTTAGCTAAAAATGGGAAGAGATTCCCCAAATCAAGGAACTCTTGGTTCATGTCACCATTAGGGTGGGCTGGGTGGATCAAGGGTAGTTTTTAGGGTCCAAATTGTGGTTGTGGTGACCAAGGTTGGGCTAGATCAAATGGCTTGAAGTGAATTTAGGGTTTGGATTGAAAACTTGGGATTTGGCTTGGACTTGGGCTTTGAGGTGGAGGAGAGGGGCTAAAAATGACGGAATTGAAGTTCTTGTGAGTGTAGAAATGATTTGGAGACAATTGGGCAGAGTTTCCTCCAGGTTCAAGCACTTCTTCCATTTGGTCGTGAAGGGGTGCCCTATTTATTAGCTGTGTGAGGGGCTTCAATTGTCCAAGCTAAGAGGTCAAAGGTGGTGCTTATGTAGAGGTCAATGGAGTGAGCCACATTAGATGAGCTCAATTATGAGTTTAGGCTCATGGGTGGCTTCTCTGGTTTGGGTTTTTCGGCAGCCTGGTGTCCTACCAGGCCATGAGAGGTCACTATCTGACTGAGGGAGCTCAGTGGTGGGTGCTGGTGAAGTCAATTGACTTAAAGCATGGGCATGATTGTTGAATCAAAATGGTAAGGGGTTTAGGCTAGGCTTGGCTTTGACTTGGACTAGGCTCATAAAAATGTGCTTATTTCACTCTCAAAGTGGTTTGACCTGGTGGCCAGCCTTGGAGCTTGAGTGTTTAAGTCCCTATCATAAAGATTAGTCTTAATCATGGGTTATATTGAGTCATGGGTACGGTCAGGTTCTTTTAGGGGAGTTTGAAAAGGGTTTCTCCTTTAACCATAAGTGGTATGGAAGCTCACATGAGGAATGTGCATGGCTCCATGGCTTCCATTTGGCTTTGATAAAACCAAATGGCTTGTCTATGACTCATACATGGCTTTCATGACTTGCATTAAAGAGGGGGTGAGAAATTTCAAGCCTTAAAATATTTCCTTGAGTTCTAATTTTAGCCACTTTTAATCATGAAATATCCCACCATAGTTTTAATCATTTTTAATATGATGGGAAGAAGAGCCAAATTATCATGTGGTCTTGGAAGAGTGGGCTTTTAAAATGGTTTAAGGTAGGTTTGTTTTGGGCTTGGATTTGGATTGGGCTTGATAGTGTGAAAATTATTCATGATGGGCTTGGTGGAATTTAGAATTCATCATGATGAAATTTAGGACTTAGGCTTGGTGAATTTTGGATTTGGCATGAGGATTCAATTTGGTGAATTTTGGATTCAGGGTGATCTTGGATGAATTTGGATTTGAGCTTTGGTGATCTTGAATCAAGGCTTGAAATTTGTTGGGGTTGGATTTGATTTTGAATTATGGTGGATTTAAATTGAATTTGGTTATTTTTGTGGAAGGTGGGTCAATTTAGTAACTTTGATGAAAATTGGACCAATTTAGTAATTTTGGGAAGTTTGGTGAAAAATAGGATAATTGGGTAATTTTGGGGACTTTGGGTGGAAAATTGAGCGATTTGGAGAAATTAGGGCAATTTTGGGCTTTTTTGATAATTTTGGGTATTTTTGGTAATTTTGGGCATTTTAGTAAATTTAGGGTTATTTAGTGAATTTTGGGTAACTTGGGGGAAATTTGGTGATTTTGGTAAGGCTTAGGGTGAAAACATGAAGCATGTGAGTGAAAGTCGCATGGTAGTGTGGAATGTATGTGGGGTGAATGATCGACGTGAATGCGTATATGGTGATATGTGTGAAAGTAATGGTGTGTAGGGTGAGGTATGGGAGTGAATGACCAAGGCTTCCAGAGTCTTCCTAAGGTTCACGTCATTACCTTCTCACTTATCACCATATACACATTCACGTCGATCATATACACATTCACGTGAATGATCGACGTATTCACGTGAATGTGTATATGGTGATATGTGTGAAGGTAATGGTGTGTAGGGTGAAGTATGGGTGTGAATGACCAAGGCTTCCAGAGTTTTCCTAAGGTTCATGTCATTACCTTCACACATATCACCCTATACACGTTCAAGGCTTCCAGAGTCTCAGAATCTTATAGGAACTCATTTTGAGCTTGAACATGTGTATATGGTGATATGTGTGAAGGTAATAACACAAACCTTAGGAAGACTCTGGAAGCCTTGGTCATTCACACCCATACCTCACCCTACACACCGGCATTGCCTCACCGTTATGCTCCATATACACATTCACGTAGATCATATACACATTCACGTGAATGATCGACGTGAATGTGTATATGGTGATATGTGTGAAGGTAATGACACAAACCTTAGGAAGACTCTGGAAGCCTTGGTCATTCACACCCATACCTCACCCTACACACCATTACCTTCACACATATCACCATATACACATTCACGTCGATCATTCACCCCACATACATTCCACACTACCTTGATCATATGACCAAGACTTCCAGAGTCTTTCTTAGGTCTCAGAATCTTATAAAAACTCATTTTGAGCTTGAACATGTTGGTCCTAATCATCTCAAAAAAAGGCTGAGGACTTGTGACCACCAATGTGAGATTACACAAAAGAGTAAAGATGTGGCCAAAATTTATAAGTGAAGTGGTCATATCACTAGTCATATAGGATAGTCATTTGGGAAGTTCTATGACTAGATCCTAAGTTCTAAGAAAAAACTAGAGATTCCCAAAAATAAGGTCAACCACAACACGACTCAAGAAACGTCTTTATGAAGCATTGGGTCCCCTTTTGCCTCTGTCTCGAACACAGTTATGGACACTTAAAGCATCCATCCCCAGATTTGAGTTGCTTGGTCATGAGTCTTGATTATGACCGTGCAATATCAGGTACCGGGCCAACCAATTCTTTTGACTTTGCTATCTGTTGGTTGGTCTGATGAGTGCGGCCTATGTTAATCAACCATGCTTTGGTCTTAATCGCTCGGCTTTGGGGCTTGTTCGACCCTAGGTCAATCGCCCTTAGGTTTCAACCACCCATCACACTTCCTTGGCTCAATATTTGGTTATTGTCCTTTGGTGTCTCTACAAGCTTTCCAATCACCCTCTTTTTTTTTTTCAGGATCAATCGTTTCATAATTGTCTCAGAAGTTTATTTTTCTTTTTATGTACAATAATATATTGCATTCATGTTTGTAGAAATTAACTAATCGAATTTGCTAAGTATACTGATTTGCTGCTTCTTGTCTTCTTGCTAATATGTGAATGCATTAATATCTATGGAAAGGGAATATAGTACACCGCCTGTCAATTTAAATCCTTGAATTCCTGCCCATTTGAGTGCTTCAATACTCGTCAATTTTTTTCCGGTTGGGACAGCGAGAGAGCCAGCGAGAAAACAGAGGTGGTGTTAGAAGCATAAGAAAACACGGCGAAAGCTTCCAGCTTTGACCCCCTTCGAAGTCGGTGGTCTCCTCCTCCCAAAATTTTCGCTCCTTGTGAAATCTCTGTGATTTCTGAACTTCAAGAATATTAGAGAGAGGTCTTGAAGGGGGAGGAGAGAGAGAAAGAGATGAAATTTTTGGTGGAAGTAGAAAAGGGGAGGGTGGGAATGGGCGACGCGCCTTCCGTCGGGCCGGTTTATCGGAGCGTCTATGCTAAGGATGGGTTTCCGACCCCGGTCCCCGGCATGGAGAGCTGCTGGGATATTTTCCGGTGAGAATTCTATGAAATCTATATCATTTGAATTGACTTCTGGCATTCGGTTTTGTATTCTTTTTTTTTTTTTAAATTAAACTAGTTTTGCTATTGTTTCATTCTGTTGAATTGAGGAGAATTGGTATTCAAGAATTTATCTGGCTCTTTAAGGTCTGTATGGGTACAAGTAGGATTTAATAAATCCTGAACTCTAGGAGATACTTCATCTTTTTCAATCTCAACGGACTTTGTGTCACTTATGGCAACTGCTGGTGATCCATTATCAGGATTTAATTGATTTGAAAACAGTGCAGGAGCTCATGGAAATGATGATATATTTTGTGTGCATAATTTTCAGCCAACGAAGTAATTATTCTCTTTGCTTGTTTACTTTACAAAGAACAAAAAAATGGAAGTAATATTATATTTATTTAATTTATATTTTTAAAATATATGTCTCCTAAATACGCTTAGCCAAACTGGTCCTTGATGTATTAGAGTCTTCACCACTAATTAAATTGGACAACACACTAGTTCTTAAGAAATTTTATTTTTCCTGCCGGTATTATGGTGATTTGGATCTAAAATACTCGCAAATTAACAGAATTGAAACGGAACTTGTTTGATCCCACTGAAATTTTGGCATACATATAGCCCATTTCATTTCATTTCTTCCTGAGAAAGTTCTGAGCCTGGGTGGCGAACTCTCCCATTACTAGTTTCTCGACCAGCACCACTTTAGTCATCGAAGAGCGAGTTAATTCTCTTTTAATCTTGCACTTGTATTAAAACATGTTAAATCTCTAAATCTCAAAACATGCATAGAAACGGTAGGATTTAACCATCCCAAAAAGTCAAGTCTGATTTAGTCATATACTGCCTAAGTTTGGCTAGCAAGCATCTCCTTCATTTGGTTGGGGTTTCCTTGTTTTCTAAACCAATGAATTTATTTTCTGCTTTTTGATTTGTTTTGCTTTTATTGTTTTGTATACTGATGAATTTTATTTGGCTCTTTTGGTTGGTTGAGACTTTCCTTTTTTTATATAATGATGAATTTATTGGGTTCTGTAGTTTGTTTTGATGTACTTGGAAAACTATATAGATTTGAGGAAAGCAAAATCCGAAGTTACCATCAAAATCAATAAAATCAACTTTATTTTGTCCTTCCCTTTTTGTTTCTTGAATCTCAAGTGGAAAGTTTAAAGCGGTTTTGAAAGTAGTTTCATAGTTTTCAGTGAGGATTTTAGCAGAAATTCCCATCACATTAGCACATTTCTATTTTTATTAAAAGCAGACGACGATATTTCATTTTTGGCTCACAGAACAAGTGAAGTGAATTCATTTTTTCTTAAATCATGTTTTCTTTCTACAAGCAACCAAATATGCATTGGTGATTTCGATCCTTGTTGTTCAATGTAGAAAAGTGCATTGTCTTGATTAATTTCTAAAGTAATGAGCTAGATGGAAGATAAAGCAAGAGGTTGTTGATTGTTCCTTGCGTGGTTTAACATGTCTGGAAAAAATCCTGAGAAACAAAAGTTTGATAATGAAAAGAACTTTGTTTTTTATAATATGTACTCTAGAAAAGTTCATTTGTTTTGAATAATGTCTGATGCGTACAGCTAGCTGATAAAACCGCTTACTGTTTTGTTAAAGATTTGGCTACAGTTAATGATTATTCATGCTGTGTTGTAGCATGGCTGTGGAGAGAAATCCTGATAACCAAATGCTTGGGCATCGTGAGATCGTGAATGGGAAGGTTCATCTTACTTTTTCTCTTGTTTTGGAAATATTGTGATTGTTTTCTTCTATTATGCTTGTTGCATGGTTTAGTTTACTGGCTAATGATTTCTGATTGTAAGGCAATAAGTTTGCTTTGCCTTTACCTGTAGGCTGGTAAATATGTTTGGTTAACCTATAAACAAGTATATGATCTTGTGCTCAAAGTTGGTGCATCTCTTCGTGCCTGTGGGGTTATGAAGGTAAATTTCTTTCTCCTTCATGTTTTAAACCTTCTTCTCAGTGAGAATGTGATAATGTTGCTGTTCATTTCCCCTGTTCAATTTTCTTCCAAAATCAGAATATGAAAACTTCTAATGTTTAGCAAATACATAAAAGAAGTTCATAAGAATATTGGAATATGCACTATTGAACTTTTAGACAGGCCGAAGTTAACTTCTAATTATAACAATGGGTGAGGAATTAAATGAAATGAAAACTTGTGATTTCCTTTGACGCGTTTTTTGAAAATCAGCATCAAATTGCTACTGTTTTATTTGCGATCATATTTAACCAGAAAGGGGTTAGTTGTTTCCCTCCCTTCTTGTACAAATATATTTAATTTTATGTTTCTTTTGGATTCTGTTCTCCTTTTACTCTAAAATAGCTTATCTACCAGAGTCAATTTTCATTGTCTGAAGAGCGTATTTTTCTTCACCTATTCTTCCTGATATACTATTTTTAATTGAAAAAAATTAGTTTTTTTCCTTTCTTAGAGCAAATTTTTAAACTTAATGCTGGCTTTAAGATGCCTTTTCTTTCAGGGAGGCCGTTGTGGCATATACGGTTCCAATTGTCCTGAGTGGGTCATCAGTATGGAGGTATCCTGCTTCCTCATCATAACTTTTATTGTTCATGAAGCTACTGATTCACCCATCTTTTTTTACGTTTTACATTTGTTCAGAAGTTTTTTACTGATTTTGTATTTATTCCATTTGAATTTGCGAACATGAATGAAGTTATTCTGCATTGTTGTGATTTTACTATTTTACATTTCTATAATGCTTCATTTTGAACTTTGCAGGCTTGCAATGCTCTTGGCATATACTGTGTACCTTTATATGATACCCTTGGTATGTAATTTTTGTTATCTTGCTGAAATTGCAATAATCTACAAATTTATCGCCCATGGATTATCATATCCGAATGGTTTGCTGAAATTTTGTTCTCCTTTAATTATTGCTGATAATATGGTGCTTTTAATTTTCAGTCTAGAGCTCTGACCATTGTAGCTTTGGATATATGAAGTATTTTTACATATTTTTGTTTCTACTTTTATGAATATTTTTTTGTGAATCTCGCTGAATCTAATTCAGCTGGCTGTTCTTTTTTTCATCTTTAGGTGCTGGTGCGGTTGAATTTATTATATGTCATGCAGAAGTTGAGATTGTGTTTGTTGAAGAGAAAAAGATTGGGGAAGTATGTTACCAAACAATTTCTTTGTAAATTGTTTAAATATTGCTATTGGCTAATAAACTATAGAATTTGATCTAAATTACTATTTTAGGCTTTCTTCTGTACAAATATTTTGGATATAAATATGTGAAATTTGCAAGCTTATGTGGTTATTCATTTTCATGATTCTTTAAATGAAAAAGAATGATTTTAATTATCATAGCTTTGAAGTGAATGTCATCACAAGCTTGATCATGCTATGTTTTTATTTATCTGTGATTATTCTATTGTCCTTTCTTCCATTCTTTCTTTTATTAGTCAATTTGAAGACCAGTAAAATACTTGCTACTTGTTTGTATTGCGGTAAATGGAAATGCAGCATTTAGAAGATGTATTAGATTGGGCTTTCATTTTACTTAAAGCTCCCTTCAACATACATTAAATTGTAAAATACTAAGGGTATTGTATAATATGCCTTATTGCTAAATTTATCAACCTTTTTTTAATATATTAAAACTGTGCTGTTGTAAGTTGTTAGACTAGTGCCATCTTATTACATTAATTTCTCCGTGCAGTGAGAATTTACAAAACATTGCCTTTTAACCTTATTAATTCTTTCACTCCAACAATGGCAGGTGCTTAAAACGTTCCCTCATACGACAAAATTTTTGAAAAGTGAGTTGCAAGCGCTGCTTCTACTTCAAACCTATATTCGTGATAATAACTGATGTTATATTTTAATTTAAATATTTTACAGAGATTGTAAGTTTTGGGAATGTCACTCCTGTTCAAAGAGAAGCTGTTGTAAGTTCTGATTTGGCAATACATTCTTGGGATGAATTTTTGGGTCTGGTAAGTTTACTGGTTCACTGTTAAATTTTGTCATCATATGTTAATAATTCTTAAAAAATTGCTTATAATGCTTCACCTTCTACTGCTTTTACTTTTCAAATAGCATCGTTCTGGTGGTATTATGGGCTTTAGTCCGATAACAAGTATCAAATTTTGGAATAAAAAATGTGGAAGTGGCAACTTCGATGGTTATAATTATTTATCTTTCCTATATTACTTTTCTAAGCATCAGAATCTGATGTTATTAAGTAAGCCAGGCCAGTTAGTTGGATTTCTTTATCTGGCAATGCAAGTAATTTGTTTTGTCTCTGCAAAATTTATTTGTATTATCTAGCATAACTATGGTTTCATCCTTAAGGTGAGTTCACACTGCAGTTTTCTTGCTACGCTTATAACCTACTTTTTTTGAACGTCATAAATTTTATCTGTCAACATCATGTATTTGTAATATAACCTTACAGCTAGGCGTACTGATTATCAAGCTATGACAACATGATGTGGTGTTTTTAAACTTTATGTGGTTTAATAAGTTGAGGTGTTGTATTTATTGTTGTAATCCTTAGTTCTCGATGTATGAATGCCTGAATTTTGTTTTGTTTTGTCCTTTGAATAAAAATTTAGTCAAGGGAAATGGCCGAGGACCCAGAGAGAAGGAGAAAAGGAGGGAGGGTGAGAGGAGGGAGGGTGAGAGGAGTTCCATCTATTTCATTCAACTAATGATATTTCATCCTAGCCCTGACCTTACCTTTATAAACAAATAAAGCAACTGGGAAATTCAGGAGATAATAAATCTTAACTAAATTAAAAAATAAATTGTTTCAAATATTCCCTAAATTCGAATCTCTAAAATAGAAAAATAGCTAATTAATTGCATTATTGTTATTGAATGTTAGTTTCTGATTTTGAAATTAGGATGTTATAGAAGTAAATTGGAAGATTTAAATACGAAAGAATTGAATTTTGGGCAGGCATGTAAATCCCTTTGTTTTAATATCAAAATATAGTTATGCGCACAATCAATAATTTTTGCAACAAAGTCATAATATGCATGCATGGGTAATGATATGAAATTTAATGACTTACTAGTTTAATGACCCATACACCAGTTCAAAGAATGATTATTCAATGAAATTTTTGACAGATTTGTTGTACGTCAATTTCGTCATAGGTAATAATAAATTCCAGTTTCTTAGACTGTCTGCTATCAACGACACCTTATCGCAAACTTCGTAGAGTTCTTATACCACTTTTGTTTGTCTGATGGTGAAAGGCAGCTGAAAAATTTAGGCTTTTCCCAAAAGTCTTCCATGAGATTTTTTTAGAAATACGTAATGAACCTTGCATCTTTTTCTTTAAAGTCACGTGGGATGTATTAACTTTCTCAGAATGGAGAATGAAAAATGTCATTTTAGAACATTACGACAACTTGGTAGAAAGAAGAGAATTTTTGTTATACTCCGTTGATTGAACACAATTTCTATATATAAGCAAACATGAAGAACATAAAAAGGTAGACATTTAGGCGGAGAATTTTCTCAATTATGAGGATACATTACAATAATAAACCATCCTTTCAATCTTGCACATTTCTATGATAACATCTTTCCACTTCAATGATTTACATGATAACACTTCCCATAGCGCATATATATTAATGAGTTCTTTTTTGTTATAAAAATTAGAAAAAATGAAGAGGTCCCAAAGCCTTAGTTAAGATATTAATTAATTGTTCTTCACTAGACATGTGTTAAGTGATGATTCTCTTACAGGTTTTCATCCCTTAATAATTTACAATCCACTTTAATATGTTTAATTCTTTTATGGAAGATATGATGACTTGCACTGTAGATAATTGCTTATTTATCATAGTTAAGAATTAAAGGCTGTGTTATAGGGAATTTGAATTCTTCTACAAGGGTTTTAGTTCACATGAGATAGCATCCTGACCTTTTATTCACCTTAACCTTAGAGCTAGCTACAATAATCTGCTTAATGACACATTGTTTTCACTTACCATGAAAAAGCATCTTGAAGTAAATTTTCTATCATCAACAGATTCAACGTAGGAATAATCTTCAATTCATAAATGTTTTTTGATAGAATAGACCATTTCTTGGAGACTTCTTGATATATTTTAAAATTCATAGGATTGTATCCCAATGTTTTTTTTTTTGTTTGAGCTAGTGCTTCTTGTCACACCAACAATATATTTAAATAAGTTTGTAAATTATACGCTGATAATGAGAAGCATCTTCCAAGTTTTCTTCATTCTCAGATGATTGCTAAGTATTCATGGAAGAGTCAACTTGTTTGTACCCTAGAAAACTAGTTTTTTGAGCTTTGTAGCTTGTTTGCTTTAAGAGAGATGATATTCTTTCTCTCTATACTACATAAACTCAATGCCAATCAAGTAATTTGGATGCCTCAGATCTTAAGTGACAAATGTCTTCTAATGATACTATTTTATTCCTTGGTGTTCGAAGCATCATCTCAAATGAGAAGAATATCATTGATGTTCGCAGTGATGCTCATTCTAGCAAAGGAAGAGTAGAAAATAAAGATAAAATCAGTCATGCTACTTTGAAGATTTGTATAAGTAAAAATTTTGGAATGCTTACCAAACCAACCGCGAAAGCATTTATTTTAATCTATGTATTACTTTTCAAAGCTTACTTTTGCCTCTGAGTAACATACATTATTGCTCAATATAATTGATTTAGTGTGAAAATAATTCGTGACATCTATTATTGAGTGATTTTACAAAGAGAATAAGCCAAACATAACTAACTTTCATGATGGGACATTCAGATTAGTTGATAACATGGACATATGTATAGTCTTTTGCACCAATTATACTTTGTAAATATGAACTCCAAAAATTTTCGCCTAACTAATCCAAGGGAGCTCTTTTCGACTCCAATTTTCAGAAGATAGACTACGTTGTAAATACGGCCACCAAAAAAGTTTACCCTTGTTGTGCAAGGCTTTATGAACTAGTTCCAGTTTTCTCATAGATGCAAGATTTATGGTTAATTATCCCTTCTGGTGATTTGAGAGAATTTTTGATTAAATTTAGTTAGTGGAGGACAAATATTTAACTTATAGCTTCATTTTGATTTTAAGAAGAGGATTTTATCGTCGACGACTTAGAGGGGATGATGGGGGAATGATGATATACCCAATCATTTTATTATGGTTCAATCTTCAGAAATTGTTGTGGACCTCGATTGTCAAAAGAAATAGTAGACCCAATTTGATTGAAAGATTTTAGTCAGTAGTTATGAGTTGAGTCATCTAGAAGGACATTGTAGCATGGGAGGGATAATTGACCGATAGAATAATTTTAAGTTTATTAGGATCAAAGGGCTTCATGAGCCATCGAGTGCACTCTATAATTCATCATATTAGAGATTTGGCTTTCAGAAAATTTATAGGTTCTAGCTATAATCATATTTAATGTGCCATTTTATTTCAAACCCTCATTTAGGGGAACCCTATCATAATTATACTTTTTATGGCCATGGGCTTAGAAAATTCTAAAAGCCCGACCATCCTAAAAAAGAGTAAAAATGAAATGAGAATGAAGATGTGGGAAGTTTACTGTGTTGTACTGGCCAAATTTTCAGAAAATAGATAAGATAGTAGATAAGACACTACCTATTTTACCCTCATTTTGCGTTAACTTTAGGATCTAGGGATCAAGGTTTTCCATATACGCAAGCCTTTGTGGTTAATTATCCCTCTCAATAATGGGGAACACTTTCAATGAAGGTTAGTAATTAAACACTAAGTATTCAGACTTAGCATATAGTAACAATAAATTTAAAATTTAAAATTTATGAAAATTTTTATCATGAGCTTAAAGCGGATGATTGTGGAAACAATGACGAACCCCATCAAAATCTCATGGTTCCATCATTTCGAACTCTCACAATCCTTAGTCTATTTATTCAGAGGAGGTAGTCGATCCAACATAACAAACGAATCATTGTTAACAATCATTGGTTGTTTCGTCCTAAGGAACCTAATAGACCTGAGGTGAATATTTATTTATAGTGACTAATCTAAATTGATCTTAGCTTACAGAGGGCTTTATGCTTATCAAATATATTTTATAATTCATAACTCAAATTGGCAGAATACCATTGGAGAACATACTGGTTGCAACCGTGACCGTTTTATAGTAGAGTCTATTGACTAAATCACTTGATGGAGCTTATTGACCTAATAACCCGGTTACAAGGTTCTGGTTGTAACCATTTTTTGTGGAATCTATTGGCCAAACCATACAACTAGAAGACTCGAGCCACATCCTTATCCTTATTTACATAAGATTATTTTGAATATAAATTTAGTGGTATGGTTGATATAATATTAAATTTGTGAGCTTAAGTCGATCTTAAATTTGTCCACCTCGACATACGGTTGTGGATGGTGAATGAATTTTTCTTAATTTTTAATGATATATTTCTTTTAGATATTTTGAATTTTATAAATTTTAAATCTTACTTTTATCTATATACCCTTCAGATAACATGTAAAATGAATATGCTCATCATCGGAGAATTTGATCTTTTAATTTAAACCTTGTTGATTATGTCCTGTTTACAGAAGAACATGTTCAAATTATAAATATCATTTGAGTTTTGAAAGTTGACTTTAAATTTTAATTTTGAAAATAGATGCCTTCGGTTGAGATTCCTGTCAACACTATCATCATAAAAAAAAAAAAAAATTATTACTTAAATATCATTAAAAGTATAGTTTTATCGATTTTAGTCCTCATGAGGAGGAAGATCATAATAACATATTTTGAGCTTAATGTTGTCAACTCCGATCCAAATTGAGAGGAGGATCAAATTGGATGGAGGTGGGTCTTTCGATCTTGTTCTATAGGCAAAACAATCCACTTAAAACCATCCATAATTTTAATATTTTTTCAACTTGATATTTTAAAATGAAAATTTTTTAATACTTTGTACATGTTTCTCAATCAAAATTTGATTTTAGTTTAAATGCATAATTAGCCCGCACAACATTCTCAAACACATCTATTTAATCATTTACGGTGCTCTTATTAGTAATTTAAACTTATTAGTTTGAGTTAATTTTTGAATAATTTTGCATACATTTTAGAGCGAATTTGATTTGAGCTTAAGCATATATTTAACTTGTGCAACATTCTCAGGCACATAGATTTAGGAACTTAGGGCGATTGTTGAAGCACATGTGGGTTTTTTAAAGCTTATTAGTTTAGATTGACTTTAAGGGACTATTATTATATGCACTGGTGTGTTTTCATTTAAATTTGTGCAAATATTTTTATTTTAAACATGTGGTTCCTCCTTCTGTCCGCTCGTGTAAAGGAGATTGTGGATCTGGTGTTGTAAAGACACGAATTAGAAACAAATTTATGGTTTTTTAAATCAAATTTTAATTTAGATTCCTTTGTTAGATGTTCTTTTTAAATTGTGTTTACTTAGGCGGTGTGGTTTGTCCTTATTTGCTTATTTAATTAAGTGGGCCCTATATGATATCTTTTTTTTATCTAGAAATAAAAGGTCAATATCGGTTCTTTTATTTGTTTCTGAATTCAATTTTCATTATTCATAAGTTTACTCAAGTGTGAGGAGATTTTGCTAGTGTTTTAAGAGTGGCATTACAAATTTTAAGTAAATTTGTTTATTATTTTCTTAGTCACTCTTTAATTTCTTAAATTCTTAGAATTATTTTTAGAGTTTTAGAAATTTCATTTAAGCATATGAGTTTTATCAAGCAATCTTTAAGTCCTTATTAGATTCATCGAAGCATAGTGTGAGTATTATTAAGCAATTTTTAAGTCCTGATTAGATTCAATTTAAGCCTTGTTTAGATCCAATGAAGTCCTGGTTTATTTTGAGATTCAATAGCATCTCAGCATCGTCCATGTTTAGGGGTTTGCCTTGGACAGCTAAAGCCTTCCTACTATCCTAAAAAGCATGCATAATCATCTTTAAACAATGTGGCAAAACCCACGACATTTGAAAAATGTGCATGGGGATTCATGTACCTGCATAAAAATAAGACATGTAGTCATTTTTGCCGCGTCTATACGACGCGGATGGGTCTTTAACCCCCCATGCTTAAAAGAAACCTGCATGGGACCTGAGATACTTGCATAAAAGAATTCATAATATAAATATTAGATAGGTTTTTCTTGTTATGTCAAGATGACACAAGGAGTACTATAGCTTAACAAAGTTGCTACTTCCAATAAGAGATGTAGGCTTAAAATCTTCCAATAAGAGTTTGTCATGCGAGCTATGTAGGGTAGTGTGAGTGGAGGTTTGAATTCGATTCTGTTTCTGGAAGGGACGAAGAAGGGTGGTTGCTACTGTTGGTCGTGAGATGCAAATGGTAAGAAACGAAGTGGGGAGAGAGAGTATGATACGTGGGGAAGAAGTGAGGAGGCTCAATTGAGCTACAGTTGGAAGTGTTTTTCTGGTTGATGGAGACCAGCTGGTGCATTTTCTGATTTAGTTCTAGTAAATTAAGATCATTTTTTAGAAAATAAGCCCAAGTCTTTCTAGGTCCACCACTGCCTGTCTTAACACAAGTTGAATCTAAAACATCTACTCTCCTAATCGGATCATAAGATGGTCGAAGTTTAATGTGACCAAACCATCTAAGCAACTTTCTCTAATTTTGTCCGTCACAGGAGCTACCCCAACCCTATCACGAATATATTCATTTCGCATTTTGTCTCTAAGTGTAAAGCCACTCATCCACCTAATCATTCTCATCTCGGCAACACTTAACTTATTATTATGCTTCTCTTTTAAAGGCCAACATTCAGCGCCATAGAGCATTGTAGGTCTCACCACCGTCTTATAAAATTTTCCTTTCAGTCTAAGCGGTACTTTTCTATCACACAAAAGGCTCAAAGATTTATCCACTTCAACCAACCAACTTGAATTCTACTATTAACATCCCCATCTATATCACCATCACTTTGAACAACGGACCCAAGATATCTAAATCATTCACACTTTTTAATAATTTGATCACCCAAAGTGACACTTCTGTCGCTAGAGCTACTACTACTAAAATTACATTCCATGTATTCAGTTTTAGTTCTACTTAAATGAAGGCCTTTATACTCCAATGTAGACCTCCATAATTCAAGTTTTTCCTGGGCTTTTTCTCTCGTTTTACCACGAGAATGATATCATCAGCAAAAAGCATACACCAAGGTACATCCTCCTGTAGATGTCCAGTAAGACCATCCATAACTAAAGCAAAAAGATATGGGCTTAAAGTCGATCCCTGATGTAATCCAACAAAAATAGGAAAATATTTGATCAATCCTTCTTCAGTTTGAACACAAGTAACAACTCTAGTACA